GGAGAATTTTTGTCAGCCTGCATTTCCTTCTGGGCAACTTTCCACGGGCCCAATCTTCTTCTTTGGCGATCATTCGTAGCTGAGTAAGATTGTCTTCCATAAACATGGTTTTAACAATGAGTCTGTAAGTGACTGTGGAGGCCAATTCTGGATCCACACGTCCTTCCACAGTGGGGACATTGGTTTCCGGGCGGGAGTTGATCACGGTGTGGATTTGCCAAGCGTGCCTTCCTCTTAGCACGTTTCTCCCTTGCGTCCTGAGTTTGAGTGTCTTCAACTGGAGTGCTCTCAGGCCAGTGTTTCCCAATTGTTGGTGTTTATACTACATTTTTAAAAATTTGCCTTGAGACAGTCTTCAAACCTCTTTTGTTGACTACCAACATTATGCTTTCCATTTTTAAGTTCACAATAGAGTAGTTGCTTTGGAAGACGATAATCAGGCATCTGCATACCAGTGAAGTTGATGTTGAAGAATCATTGCTTCAACACTGGTGATCTTTGCTTCTTCCAGTACACTGATATTAGTTCGCCTGTCTTCCTAAGTGATGTGTAAAATTTTTGTTTTAGGTCAGAGGTGAAAAACCTTTGTCAGCCTGCATTTCCTTCTGGGCAATTTTCCATGCGCCCAATAGCAAAGGCGGGCAGTGCCAGATGCAAAACTGGGCAGAACAATTCACGTGACTCTTACTTTACATTCCAGATGTGGAAAAGGAAGGAGGTGATAGCGCTGGAGGAACAAAATGTATTTTGGGTAGCAATGGACCCAAATACAAGCTGAGAGATAATTTGAGGCAAGGCCCAGTGTCCTGGAAGGCACAGAAGATAAGAACAAGGAACTTGTGTTAGATATCTGGGAGTGGGCAGGAAGCCAGCGGAATATGAAAAGGATTCTCCTTTCAAAAGTGATGTGTACAGGCATATTAAGGGGCAAGTGCATGTTTTCAGTGCAGTGTGTTAAGAGGCCCTAAGAGCTATTAGCAAAATCTAGAGTAGACCGCAAATCTCTGGACAGCCCTTGTTTCCATAGTGAGACAATACTGTCATCTTTAACGGTCCACAATTTATGGCATATGTCTTTGGAAGAAGCCATCATTTAGCAACTATGTCAAGGTGAGCAAGTTTGCTGGAGATACTCTGAAGTAGCAGACAAGTGGAAATGAAAGATTACCTGCCTGCAGTCCATATATTACAGGTGACTTCCTTCAAAAAATAAGACGAGGGCTCTCTGAAAGGTCTGCTATTTCTGAGCTACCCACAGTTGAGGTATATGGAGACCCTTTTACTGGAGATGAACACCGGGAGGAGGGAGAGAGAGAGAGACTGGCTTAGACAATCGTGGCTGTCTACAAATACGGAGAGAGCCATAATTTCTGGGTGCATTTTATATATGATCTACTATCAACATTTTTATACTACCTTTCAATCAAATTCCCAGTGCTGAATGTGAAAATCTTATTCTGGATTAATATCTATCCCCAGAGCAGCCTAGCCACCCTCAAGTTTTTGAATCAATCACTGTTATGAGTGTGTCTCTTTTGAAGGGATATAATTCTGTGATCAGTAATGGGCTGGAGAGGGGTCAGGAACCTGAAGACCAGTCCAGATAAGATGGAGGCGCTAAGGGTGGGTGATTTGTAGTGTTCCACTTGCATTGGATACTGTTTCCTTCTCCCTAAAATATCAGGTGCACCGTCTTGGAGGTGCTGTTAAATCTGGACATACCTTTAGGGCAGGGTAAGGAAACATTTTCTGCTCAGGGGCCACACACCTGCACTGGGCAAGACTAGAGGCAAAGGAGCAATGGATTTTGACTCTCTCTCTCTCTCTTGCTAATTTTTATTAAATTTTCTAATTTACATTTCAAAGTATTCATTTAAACAACCTTAAATCAATGACTTCCCTTCTTCTCTTTCCGTGGTTCATTTCACATACTTTATATGAACTAGATCATTCGGGACTAGACCATTGTTACATCCATCAAAACTTACTCGCACTGTTGAATTTATCTTTAAATGAACACAGTTTTTACCCATATATTCAGTAAACATTTCCCAGTCTTCTTTAAATGTACATTCTTCTTGTTCTCTTATTCTATATGGTAAATCTGCAAGCTGCATGTATTCCATCAGTTTAAGTTGCCATTCTTCTTTGGTTGGGACCTCGCTCATTTTCTATTTTGGGGCTAACAAACACGGGCCGCAGTAGTAGCATACATAAATAATCTTTTTTGACACCTGGGAATTTTCCTCTGAATTATCCCCAACCAAAAGGACTCTGGTTTTCTTTGGAAAGGTACTTTTAAACATTTCCCCCCAATTCATTATATACCATTTCCCAATACGCTTTTACCCTTTTACAATTCCACCACATATGATAAAACATATCCTCAACCTCATTACATCTCCAGCACTTATCTGATTCTGTTCAGGGGCCACACCCTCAACTTCTGGTCTAGGGAGAGTCCTGAGGGTCAGATAGAGGTTCCTGTGGGACCTCATTCAGTTTCTGGGCCTGATGTTCCTCCCCCCACCTGTCACTCTTCCAGGACAGAGTGAGCCACAGTTATCCATTCAGACTACTGCAATGCATTGTATGTGGCCTGCTTTTGGTGGCTGTTCCAACAGAAACTACACATATAGATCAAAAAAGCACCTTCCAAGAGAGTGTATGTCAATTGGAAAAAGGCTGGTGCATTGATACACAAGCCAAAACACAATTCACCCTCAAAATTTGCAGTATTCTGAATTTTGCAATGCAGTTCTCCCAACCAAATAATGTGTGCAAAAAAGGCGTAACTTAGGCGAAAGTTTGCATAAAATGGCATAAATTAGTGAAAATCACATAGGAATGCCTTCCACCAGTAATATTGCTTGCAAAAATGTGGATATTAATCTAAACTGAATGCAAAACTTGGATATGCGGGGGGGGGGGGGGGGTTTGCACGAAAACACGGATGAATTTTCATTTTAAAAATGCAACCTGCTGTGGAAATGTGGAAAACAAAATGTAAGATTAGAAAAGTGGAATGAACAGGTTTGTCCATCTTGAGACCATGAGATATTCTCTCAGGTGGAGTACCTGGAATGAGTGGCATGGGTTGGAAGGATCTGTCTAATTCGGTTCTCTTAGTTTTTCTCTTTTTCCGTCTTAAATTCAATCCTCCACATTTTCAGCAATTGGACATTATCATCATCATTATTATTATTTAAACAAAATTCACATGAAAATTCACCAGCATTTTATTGTGAATTTCTCTTAATAAACACATTTCCATATGCCAATTTAACTAATGTACATACCATTTGTAATAAGAATAGGGGTTGCTCGTGCGTAAGTTGCCGCCACTCCTGGCTAGGTTGCCTGGTTAAACCTTTCCTGTCCGGACAACCCTTCACTTCATGGCTGTCTCAGTCGCTAGCAGAATCCGTCAGTGGGCGTCTCTTAAACCTTTTCCAGCATAAAAGCTGTTTGACGCCAAGTCTCCTCCTACTCTCCCTGCGCGGAAGTCTTCTGCGCAGGGAGGGTGTGGGTAGCGGAGGACCTGTGCTCTCCCCACTGGTCTCCGGCGAGGAGTCCTGGAGCCCCCTCGCCGATTCCCCCATCTGCCCCCCTTTATCCCTGGTGTTATGCTGATTTCCTTCCCCAGCTGATGAGCTGCCTCTCTCCCTGCTGGGCCCTTCTCCAGCATCACTTGGGAGCCTAGCCTCTGCCTCTGGCTCCGATGTCAGTTCCCTGACACCATTGCAAGCAATTTCTCCTAATAGAATGTCTTAGGTTTGGTTTTAAATGCATGCTGAAATCTCCCCATCCCTACGAGTGACACATGGACATGGACATCTCCGCCAAGCTAAGCAGTTGGCTCCTTATCTCTCTCGCCCTGACCTAGCCACTGTGATCCACGCGACGGTCACCTCCAGACTGGATTATTGTAACTCGCTCTACGTGGGGCTGCCCTTGAGACTGACCCAGAAACTCCAGCGGGTGCAGAATGCCGCAGCGAGACTCCTTATGGGGTCTTCGCTGCGAGATCATATTCACCCGGTGCTATACCAGCTGCACTGGCTCCCGGTGGAGTACAGCATCAGGTTTAAGGTGCTGGTTTTAACCTTTAAAGCCCTATACAGCCTAGGACCCTCGTACCTACGGGACCGCCTCTCCTGGTATGTCCCACAGAGAAATTTACGGACTGCAAATAAAAACATCCTGAAGATCCCAGGCCACAGAGAGGTTAGGCTGGCCTAACTAGAGCCAGGGCTTTCTCGGCCGCGGCTCCAATCTGGTGGAACGCTCTGTCACAAGAGACTAGGGCCCTGCGGGACCTGACATCTTTCCACAGGGCCTGCAAGACAGAGCTGTTCCACCAGGCCTTTGGTCAGGGTGCAGCCTGACCCCCTCCTCTGGCAATCTGCACAGAATTTTGCTTAATGGTTGCCATCAATTTGATTTTAATTAATTTTATAATGAATGTTTTTAGAATGTTGGATTATTTTGATTGTTGTTAGCCGCCCTGAGCCCAGCTTCGGCTGGGGAGGGTGGGATATAAATAAAGTTTATTAATATTATTTATTATTGTCCAGATATTCCGAATCAACAGCAGCATCTTGAAAGTACAACCAGAAGAGCATTTTTTGGTCCCTTTATCACCCAGTGAAGGAGGAAGCAGTTGGCACAAGCCGGCCCCTTGCTTGCTCCTTTTTCTTTCCTTTAATTTACTTTTCAGCTTGCTTGTCTCTCAGAGTTGAGGCACAACCAAGAGGAGCAGCAGGAAAGGCTGAACAAAACAAACCCCAGACTTTCTCCGAGGATCGATAGAAATCAATCTCTTCATTTTGTCAGAAAGACAAAACAATAACGCTGGTTGAAGGTACACTTGGTGCCGCCGGCAAGTGGATGGTTGCAGGGAGGAAGACAACAGTGATTGCTCAGCACTCTGGAGGAACTGTGCGGCAAGCCCATCTCAGGCCCTGGTTCTGTAGAAGCTGCAGAAGATGAAACACAGGGCTGTGGCTCAGTGGCTAGAGCATCTGCTTTGCATGCAGAAGGTCCCAGGTTCAATCCCTGGCATCTCCAGGTAGGGCTCGGGATGTCTTCTGCTCCATATCCTAGAGCAGTGGTTCCCAAAGTGTGCAGTATCTAGGGCGCATGCTAAGAGGCAAGGGGATGGCAGGGGGCGCTGGAGGTGTAAAGGACCACCAGAATTTGAAAAGCTGGTATGGCTGGATCAAGTTCATCAGTTTGTTGACTTGATTAAACTAAGCAGTTTTGATCCCTCCCCAACCTATGATAGCTCAGCTGGTTAGAGCATGGTGCTGATAACAGCACCAAGGTTGGAGGTACGATCCCCATATGGGACAGCTGCATTGCAGGGGGTTGGACTGGATGATCGTCAGGGTCCCTTCCAACTCTACATGTCTATGGTTCTATGATCAAATTTTGAATAAATGTGCCATTAGTTGTTAACTGTTTTAATAATAATAATAATAATAATAATAATAATAATAATAATAAATTTATTTATACCCCACCCATCTGGTTGGGTTTCCCCAGCCACTTTGTGCAGCTTCCAACAAAATATTAAAATACAGTAATGCATCAAACATTAAAAGCTCCCCTATACAGGGCTGCCTTCAGATGTCTTCTAAAAGTCTGGTAGTTGTTCTTCTCTTTGACATCTGGTGGGAGGGCGTTCCACAGGGCGGGTGCCACTACCGAAAAGGCCCTCTGCCTGGTTCCCTGTAACTTGGTTTCTCGCAGCGAGATAACCGCCAGAAGGCCCTTGGCGCTCGACCTCAGTGTCCAGGTAGAACGATGGGGGTGGAGATGCTCCTTCAGATATACTGAAGGATATCTTAGTGTTGCTATCTTCCTGAGCGGGTTGTGCAGACTGCTCTTCAACAGGGGATGTGTTTATGGAACCAAGTGTGGGAGGGTGGCCCCCCAAAGTTTGGGAACTGCTGCTCTAGAGAGTTGGCAACGGCCAGTTTGGACAGAGCAGGGCTAGGTGGATCAATGTCTGACTCGGTATAAGTTTGCTTCCTATGTTTCAGTAAATGTCGCACGCAAATAACCTTCTCTTTCTTTAGAATGCTTTTGGCAAGACTTCAGAGGGCAGCTCTGTGGAAATTTCCTGGTGCCTCCTTGACTAGGTCAGCTACCTCATTGGCAGCTGCAGTGATTCTTGCCTGTGGGGTGCATGAGAGACCCAACAGACTAGTTGGAATGTGAACGTCTTATTGTCCTGGTAATGAGGATATTCAGCGGCCTTACTCTGCTGATGTTTCAGCAAGGTTGAGAGGGGTTATAGACGATTGCTTCTCCTCCTCTCTCAGGCACATTACTTAATGGATGCTGTAGGCCAGGGATGAGGAAGCTGAGACCCTCTAGACCAGGGGTAGTCAACCTTTTTATACCTACCACCCACTAATGCATCTTTCTTGATGGCAAAATTTCCTTACCGCCCACCAGTGCTCGATGGAAGGAGGATTCAGCTTGTGCCATAGAACCCCCTACTGCCCACCTAGAATCCTGAAATGCCCACTAGTGGGCAGTAGGGGCCAGGTTGACAACCCCTGATCTAGATGATGCTTCACTCCAGTTCTTATCAGCCTCAGCCAGTCGTCAGGGATGATGGGCTCTGTAGTCCAGCAAAATCTGGAGGGCACACTGGTTTCCCCAGTGTGGAGAAGCAAAGAAAAAGAAGAAGAGAAGCAATATTAGATACATATTATATACAAGGGGTGTAACACTGCCTGCTCCAGGGGCGATTATTATTATTATTGTAATTAAAGTTGGAGGGAGTATTTTTAGATTTCCAAATTTGTACTTGGGAATTATCTTGAAATACTTCAGCCTGCAGCCAGCACAGAGCTTTATTTTATTTTATTTTAATAATTAACAGCTGGGGTAGCACACACCACAGTAATTTTGTGGTTGCTGTTCTCTTCCGCATTTAAAAATCGTAAAATGCATCTGCCTCTGCCCCCATTTTCCTTCTCAATTGGCATGTAGAACTAAGTGCCTCATTCATCCTGTCAGCCTCCTCCATTCCAAGGCTGCCTCGGAAAGGGGTATTTTAGAATAAGTGCTTCGTATTTGTCAGTCATCTCGCTAGCTTTGCACTCATTGACTTGAGATCTGGAAGGTAGGAGGGGCTTCCCTTATTCTGGATCCATTGGCTAAAATGATGCCTCTGGGGTTTCAATTAAATCTCCACAAATCTCTAACTTCTGCCAGCTCCATCCAGACTGACCAACCATCTGTGGAGATGATGGGAGTTTAAGGTGTGTTCATGTATTTGTTTTTTCTCTCTCTCACTTGCACACATACACATACACCTTTCCTGTTTTCCTCTGGGTGTGACATTTTGCATGGTTTGATTTTGTCATATTGTTTTGTTTCTCCTTTAGTTTAGTTTGAATTATCATACAATTTTTAAGTGATGGGAGTTGTAGTCCAGAAATACCTTAATTTATTTTTTTATTTCATAAAATTCATATACCACTTGATGGTAAAAAACAAACAAACAAATCAAAGGGGTTTACAAAAAGAATAAAATAATAAAGCTAATTAAAATGTTCAGAAAACTAAAACCAGCAATAACATAAAAACACACCTGAATTTGGGGTAGGCTTCTTAAAAGGAAAATGCTTTTATCAGGCACTGAAAAGAGTACATTGAAGGCACCTGCCTGATATCAATAGGCAGGGAGTTCCGAAGTGCAGGTGTCGCTACACTAAAACACCATAGGTTCCCCATTCTGGGATCAGAGATATGAATGGGCAAATCTGACACTTATGGTCTTCTCATTTTACCAAAGTGAATTTCAGTCTCCGCATTTCCACATCTGTTTGCGAATTATTATTTTTGTTGTTGTTGTTTAGTCGTTTAGTCATGTCCAACTCTTCGTGACCCCATGGACCAGAGCACGCCAGGCACTTCTGTCTTCCACTGCCTCCCGCAGTTTGGTCAAACTCATGCTGGTAGCTTCAAAGACACTATCCAACCATCTCATCCTCTGTCGTCCTCTTCTCCTTGTGCCCTCCATCTTTCCCAACATCAGGGTCTTTTCCAGGGAGTCTTCTCTTCTCATGAGGTGGCCAAAGTATTGGAGCCTCAGCTTCACGATCTGTCCTTCCAGTGAGCACTCAGGGCTGATTTCCTTAAGAATGGAGAGGTTTGATCTTCTTGCAGTCCATGGGACTCTCAAGAGTCTCCTCCAGCACCATAATTCAAAAGCATCAATTCTTCGGCGATCAGCCTTCTTTATGGTCCAGCTCTCACTTCCATACATCACTACTGGGAAAACCATAGCTTTTTTAAGTCCTCCTAAAAATCATCAGTTTTTCTCCTAATGTACAACTTTTTGCATACAAATTTTCTTAATATAGTCACTTTTACATAGGAATGTCTCTTAATGTAACACGCTTTTTTCAACAATATGTGCAACTCCATGCACATCCCCCCGCCTCAAGAATATGCATTTTTGTACACATTTACATGGCTCTGCATTGCAAAATTCAGAAAAATGCAAATTTTGGAAGAGGGCTGTATTTTGGTCTGTATATCTTCGAAAGAAAGTGTGATTTATGTGAGTTTGCCTTTAAATGTGAATTGAATTCCTCCCCCACCCCGATCAGAGACTTGCGTTTTAAAAAATGGAGAAAAGAAGATTTGGGGAAGACACATGGAATGTTCCCATAGGGACCCAACCCTGCTCCCAGTGGTTTCAGCTCAGGAAAGGGTTCACCAGAGGTTTTGTTCAATGCACCTCTGTTTGAGGAATTGCTGTTAGTGCCTCAAGGCACATGATGGTGACATAATATTTGCAACAGAATATTTGTGCTCACGTTTAAGTACATACTCTGGAGATATGCAATTAATATTCCGAACACTCCTTGGCCTCTGTTCATGTTAATGATAATTCGTCATCTTAATTCCAGTGTGCCGGCTTGAAGGCTGATAAATCGCCCAGGCAAATCCTCGGAAAAGGGGGCAGCAACAATTTTATTGGCACCCTGCTGTTGTTCATTGCAAACGATATGATCCATAATTTTAAAAAAATACAGCGGTACCTCTAGTTACGAACTTAATTCGTTCCGAAGGTCCGTTCTTAACCTGAAACTGTTCTTAACTAGAGGCGTGCTTTCACTAATGGGGCCTCTTGCTGCCACTGCACCGCTGGCACACGATTTCCGTTCTCATCCTGGGGCAAAGTTCTCAACTCGAGGTAATTCTTCCAGGTTAGTGGAGTTTGTAACCTGAAGTGTTTGTAACCTGAGACGTGTGCAACTTGAGGTACCACTGTAAATACAAGCCTTGGCTATCCTCCTCTTTTGGTTGACACCCTTTTTTTCATAGAAAATTAAAGCTGGGAGCGAACCTCAGGTTCAGTGAGTCCAATCCCCAAATTAATCCATATTCATTAGTCTCCCCCTTGCTGGATTGGGGCAATTGTTGTAAGAAAAGGGGCATTTCAGCACCTCAAGTTCACTCTCAGATTCTCACCCTTGATGCCAAAAAGTGATCTTGAAAAAATTCCTGCTTTTTCCCTGTATTTCAGCTCTTGGTGTTGCATTTTGTTTAATGTTATTGATTCCTTGTCAAGTTCTTTCCTTGACATTGAAGGCTTAGTGGGCAGAAAAGTAAGGTCTGCATTGAAATATAAATAAAATGAAAATGAATAAATCTTGCCCTGACAGCCTTCCTCTGATAGCTTCTTCACAGCAACCCCACACAACTCTCCTAAGTGTTTTCTCATCCTACACATATTGTTGCGGCAATGCAATTTGGAAATGCTACAGAAGACAACAAAGAACACAATTATTTTGGGTGGGGTCATCTAATTTCACACCATTCACACACACACACACACACACACACACACACACACACAACACGCCTCTCTTATAACCCAGCAAAAAAACAGAAGCGGAGGTTTGATTAAAAAAAACAACAACAAAAAACTGTGCACCTGACCCCTTTCTTCTTGGATGCTTTTGATATTTACTCTCAGCCCCAGGGTGTTAAGTGGATAATCTATCTTGCAGGCACTGCTGTGACAAATCCAGTCA